GCCACATGTGAAATTAATATGCTTCTTCGCCTTCACCGCGTATTAATGCTAAATATCGATGCCAATTTGAATAATCATAAACGTTCGTGATCTGTGAGGTGTCAGGGGCAAGAAACATTCGAACATGCGATCATGCGAATACAACGCTGCCATGGACTCGGGCATATTTTTGATGCAGAAACCGTCAGTCTTATAAATACTTCTCGGATTCGCCGAACAGCAGACCTACATCAGCATGAAATCGTTTCATCGGTGGCTTTGATGTGTGTAGCGCGTAGAAAAATCAAGAAACACCTCATATGATAGTTACTAAGATGCTACGCATCATGTACTTATCTGCCTGGTTACTTTTCACATTCTGATTGCGTTTCAGTGAACTGGAATTTCTCCTCTCCCTGCGATCATGCAACAACGGTTGTGGAGAATTCCACGATCTTGAAAAGGGCAAAAATGGTTTCTTCGTCGACAACGATTCAAACCAGTTCATTGAAACGCATTCAGAATGCGAAAAATATCTGGGCGGCTAAACACATGACTACTTGAAGCCTGGCTTTCAGTATTTAACGGTATTAGGTGTTTCCTAACTCTGCTAAATGCCGTATGTTAGAAGTCATGAAAGATGGATCAATTTTATGCTGCGATGGGTGCGCTGTACAGCGACACACCAAATAATTTATAATCAAGTAAATTCATGTATCGAAAATATGAAAATACGGCATATGGTAATTTAAGTTATACAGCTACCGAACATTATGAGTATAAAAACGCGCTAATAATATCTAAGTTCCGAAAAAACCATTTTAACAGCTAAAGAAACCATTACCGATTACATCTGGAGTCATTTCCACGTTTACTGCGTCATGAAGCTCGACACCGACGTAATCATGTACCCCATGTTCCATTAAGTTACAACTTGGCGCCATGTGCAGTTTCCGATGGACACTACAGCACAGAATTTCACCAGACAACAATCATAGCAATAAACAACGGCAACAATGAACAAGCACCTAGATTAGTACAAAACCAGCAAGTTCCTATGCACCTTTCTTAAGCAAATAACATCAAGAACTAACATCATACAAGGGCAACGTTACAAGAAGCAACTTGTTAAAAACTACGCACGTACAGAAGCGAAAGAGCCTCACTAGATATTGAGAATCACCCTTAGATAACCATGCGAAAGTGTGGAAGACTTGTGCATCTTACCAGTATACCAGTGTACGTTTTCAGCGACCTTCAGACATGCTTACAAAGAAAGACGAAAGAACATCAAGCACAAACAAGAACATAATGAAACCTCTGAGGGCATCAGATG